TTTTTTTTTTTTTTTACAGTGACTTATTTTGACATTAAAGCCAGCAAGTACACAGGAACGATTCTAAAAGCAGCCTTTTCTCATAGATAAGGAAAGTTCTGATCTGAATTTAGGACACTGCCTTGCTGTGCACCCGAGGTCCAATAAAACTGTGGTAAAGAAAACAGAAATATTGGCCTTTTGAGAACTGCCTTGTAGAATGGCTGTTCCTATCGCTAGCGCATATGGCCCCTTCCCTGTTCAATGTTAATTACCCTCCTTGCCTTTAAGTATAGATATATGTATGCTAAGTAGATCTCTAGAGAACGCTCAGTTCCTCCAGCAAGCATTAGCCTTTTGGGAGCTGCGCTCTTCTGCCTGAAGAAAACACCCCGAGAGTCATTTGTTCTCCCGTGCTTCAGGCTAAAGCTCCCCCTGCCTTCAGAGAGCGGAGTGGCTGTCCCACAGAACAGCAGTCCTCTGCTAAGGCAGAGATCTCTCCAGTTTTAGGAAGTGACTGTATTAAAACGGGTGTCTTGCGTTTCTAAGAAGAACTACATCCTTCCCTCACAAACTTCATAAATTTCAGAATATTTTTTACAAACATACTTTGTTTTTATTTTTATTTCCCTTTACATGTGCGGGTGTTTTGCCTGTATGCAAGTCTGTGCATTAGGTGTGTGTGTCTGGTGTCCCTGGAGAACAGAAGAGGGCACCAGGCCCCTGGAACTGGAGTTAGCAAAGGCTGGGAGCCTCCACGTGGGTGCCCCAGAGCGGACAACTCCCTTGACTGGCGAGTCATCTCTCCAATCTATAAACTTCAGTTCAATCCTGGTTCACTACATGGCCGTTTTAAAATGAACCATTGCAGACTGTTTGCTATGAAACAGTGAGGTAGATGGTTCTCTCCAGTCAGGATCCTAAGATATGCTCAAGATAGCGCGGTCGGTCTACCTGGACTGGAGAGGAGCAGCTCTGGACCAAGGAGACGTCCAACCTCCAGGCAGCGCCAACAGAGGTGCTGGCCTGGTTCACAGTATGCGACCGTGAGACAGAGAGGGGCTGTTTCTTCAGACGTGTCTTGAAGCAAGAGGCCTCGGTTTTTTAATGCTCAGACCCACAGCTGCTTTGGCAGATAATTTTCCCGCACATGGCTCCCACACTAAGATAGTCCATGTATGAAGTAAGTCTGGCTCCTCTTCACCTTTGTAACCTGGGTGTGAGCTACCGCCGTTACCTGACGGAGTGGCGTTTCTGAAGCCCTGACGGCTGTCATCTCCGTGAGCAGCTTACCTGTGTCTTCTGCCTGTCTCAGGAGTCAGAGTGACTCCTCCCGGCCTTATTCTAGACCCCCAAGCTTCTGCCGTTGCGATTCTCCTGTTGCCATCATGTCCACCCAGCCATTATTTCTCACTATAGGATTCTTTAGTACCATCAGATCTGCTGGGTTAAACGGCTACATGTCAGGGCTTCTTGCATTACAGAACAAGTCTGCTTCAGACCCCATTCCTTCTCTGATCCTAGGCAGCTTTCTGCTTTTCACATCACTCAGTGAATGGGTTTCTTGCTAAGAGTGAATCATGCTGCCACCAGAACATAATAAAGATAATTTTGGCATACTCCAGACCACTGAAACCCAAAAGGCAAAATAAAAAAGCAAACAACAACAACAACAAATAACAATAACTTCCTCCTCACAGTTCTCCATCAAGCCTACTGATTTAATTCTTAATTTTGATATACTTTTCATGTCTGATCATTTACTTATACCTACCTTT